CATTGTTGAGTTTTAAGACTTCTTGTATATTTTGGATAATAGTTCTTTATCAGATAACAGTTCTTTATCTTTACAAATGTTTTCTTTCATACTGTGGCTTGTCTTTCATTCTCTTCACAGAGCAAATGTTTTTAATTTGAATGAAGCCCAGTTTATCTGTTCTTTCTTCCTTGGATCATACCTGTGGTGTTATATCTAAAAGTCACCGCCACGCCCAAGATCATCTAGGTTTTCTCCTCTGTCTTCTAAAAATGTTATAGTTTTGTGTTATCCGTTTTGGGTTAATTTTATGAAAGGTGTAAGGTCTGTCTTTAGAATATTTTTTTTTTTTGCATTTGGGTGTCCTGTTGGTCCAGCATCACTCTTTGAAAAGACTATCTTTTTCTCCATATTATTATTGCCTTTACTCCTTTGTCAACGATCAGTTGACTATATTTATTTGAGTCTATTTCTGAGCTCTCTATTCTCTTCCTCTTATCCATTTGTTTACTTTTTTGCCAATACCACACTATCTTGATTTTACTGTAGCTTTATAGTAAGAATTGAAGTTGGGTAGTGCCAGTCTTCCAACTTAGGCCTTCTTCTACAATATTGTGTTGGCTATTGTGGGTCTTTTGCCTCTCCATATAAACTTTACAATCAGTTTGTTAATGTCAACAAAACTACTTGCTGGGATTTTGATTAGGATTTCCTTGAATCTATGGATCAATTTGGGAAGTACTGACATCTTGACAATATTGAGTCTCCCTATCCATTAACATGGAATATCTATCTCTCCATTTCTTTAGTTCATCCTTGATTTTGTTCATCAGAGTTCTGTAGTTTTCCTTATCTAGATCTTGTACATATTTTGTTAGATTTATACCCAACTATTTCATTTGGCAGAGGTACTAATGTAAATGATATTGTGCATTAAATTTCAAATTTCACTTGTTTAGTGCTGGTTTATAGGAAAGTGATTGACTTTTGTCTGTTAACTTTGTATTCTGCAACCTTGCTATAATTGCTTATTAGTTCCAGGAGTAGTTGTGTGTGTGTGTGTGTGTGTGTGTGAATTCTTCTCAGATTTTCTACATAGGTGATTATGCCATCTGCAAAGACAGTTTTATTTCTTCCTTCTCTATCAGTATGCCTTTTATTTCCTTTTCCCTGTTTTATTGCATTAGCTAGGACTTCTAGTACCATGTTGAAAAGGACTGGCGAGAGAGGACATCCTCTCCTTGTTCTTGATCTTAGAAGGGAAGCTTCTAGCTTCTTTGTAATTATGTGATGTTATCAGTAGGTTTTTTTGGTATATAATTATCTATCAAGTTGAGGAAGTTCTTCTCTTGGTTTACTAAGGTTTTAAAAATCATGACTGAGTATTAGATTGTGTCAAATGCTTCTTCTGCATCTACTGATGTGATCATATTATTTTATTCTTTAGCCTGTGATGGATTACATTAATTTATTGTCAAATGTTGAACCAGTCTTGCATACCTGTGATGAGTCCCACTTGGTTGTGGTGTATAATTCTTTTTATACATTGCTAGATCCACTTTGCTAATATTTTGTTGAGGATTTTTATATCTATATGTTCATGAAAGATATTGATCTGTAGTTTTCTTTGTATATTTTTGGTATTAGTGTAATGCTGACCTCATAGAATGAATTGGGAAGTATTCCTTCTGCTTCTGTTTTCTGAAAGATTGTAGAGAATTGATTTAATTTCTCCCTTAAGTGTTCAGTAGAATTCACTGGTGAACCCATCTGGGCCTGGCGCTTTCTGTTTTCAAAGGTTATTAATAATTTATGCAATTTCTTGACTAGATCTAGACCTATTTAGATTGTCAATTTCTTCTTGTGTGAGTTTTGGCACATTGTGTCTTTCAAGGAATTGGTCCATCTCATCTAGGTTATCACATTTGTGGGCAACTAGAGTTGCTCAAGTATTCTTTATTTGAAAGTAAGTTGCAGTTTTTGACATTTTCTTATAAATATCCCAACTTGCATCTCCTAAAAATAAAAAAATTCTCCTACATAGCCACGTACCATTATCACACTAAGAAAATTAACTTAAAATTTTTGTATTAATACTTAATTATTAACTTACTAATTACAAGGGGAAAAATGTTTTGAGGGTTAACACAACCAAAAGACCAAATTTAACATCATCAATGTGGTAATCTGACATTCTACACCTTCTGATGTGATGCAGCAAGAAATACTCATCACTTACAGTGTTTGTGTCAAAAATGTAAACCTGAGTCTAATCATGAGGAAATAATCAAATATAAGCCAGCTGCCCTAAACTCTGAAAAAAAAAAGTTAGAGACACGAGGAAAAATGGAAGCGGCGGGCTGTTCCTAACTAAAAGAGGCTAAAGAGACAAAATTGCCAAATGCCATTTTGAACTTTAATTGGAATCCAGATATGAGGAAAAAGACAAAAAAGACATTTGGGGGGCAGTCGGGTAAATTTTAATATGGACTGTATATGATGATATTGAAATCCTTGATAAAATATAAAATAATGTAGTTGTGATCCCGGTTCTGACTTTTTTGATGTTTTCATTCTGGTTTTACTGAGAAAATGGAACTCTATACTTTAAAATAGACTTTAATAAAAATCAAAGCTGTTTTCTGTTCCGCTCTCTGTGGAGTTTTGCGGTGACCGTTTCCAAAAGGCTGCGCCTCGCTGTGTGCGCGGGTGTTGTGGGGGCCACCACGCACACAGCACCGCTCGGGCAGGTTCAGGACCTTTGCATTGCTGATCGTGAAATGGAATTTTAGGATAGGGGCCAGAGAAAGGACTAGAATAGTAAAGGCCAAGTCTGGGAAAGCCCTGTATAAAGCAGTGAATTAATGATCTCCTCAAGGGTGGCAGAACCCAGCATCCTGTGGATATTCCAAACCTACAGGCTTCTAAATGTTTGTAGTAACTCTATACCAACTCATGTGATCCTTCCTTTCACAGTGAGAAAGGGCATAGGAGGATTTTTGTCTCCTAAAGATTGCCTGTTTCCTGATCCCTTTCCACTTCATTTGTTCACTCATTTGTTATCATTCAACAATATTTATTGAGTGTCTGCTGTGTCAGGTACTGTGCTAAATGAAGAGTAGTGAAAAAGACCGTATGTGTCTCCTGGAGTTTTTAATCTAGATGGGGGAACAAGCATGAAACACAACTAAATATTCAGTTACATCTGCGATAAGAAAAGTTAGAGGTGCCATGAGAGGGAATAATAGGATTTTTAATATACTTTGTGGGCTAAACATCACACATCTGTGAACCTCTAGGCTGCAACATTGTCTTGAGAGGTCACAGCAGTATAGGTATAGGAGTATCTAAGTCAAAGATTAGCTGAAATTCTATTCTGATCGTCCAGCCCTAAATAAAAAAAAATTAAAAAGTTGCTGAATGGCTCTCTGCTGGTGAGGTTTCTTTCTTGCTTTCGTTAAAAAAATTTTTTTTAAAAAAATCAAGCAGTCAAGTTCCATCTGCTTTACAAGGGGAAGATAAAAAAGAGATTTGTCCATGGTTAGCCTCATGGCCATAGGGGTCCATGTTTCCTTAGAGGTGTGGTGACCAGCCTTCCACTCTTTTTTTTTTTTAAGGTAACAGCCCCCCGCCCACCCCCACTTCTTTCTATTTTCATTTAGTTAGTTATTATTGAGGTATAATTGACATATAACATTATATTTCATTTATACAGTGTAATGATTTCATATTATATATTGCAAAATAACCACCACAATAAGTCTAATTAACATCTGTCACCACACATAGTTATATAATTTTTTAAAACATTTTTATTGAATTTATTGGGGTGACATTGGTTAATAACATAGAGGTTTCAGGTGTACAATTCTATAATACATTATCTGTACATTGTATGTTCACCACCCCAAGTCAAGTCTTCCATCACCATTATCTCCCCTATACCCTCTTCTACCTCCCCCACACCCCTTCCCCTCTGGTAATCACCATGCTATGCTGTTGTCTGTGTCTATGAGTTCTTATTTGTTTGTTTGTTTTTTGCTTAATCCTTTTACTTTTTCATTCAACCCCCCAACCCTCCTCCCGTCTGACAGCTGTCAGTCTGTTCTCTATATGAGTCTGTTTCTATATTTACCTATTTTTTCCCACTGTGCAACCTGCTTCACTGTCTTTAGCCTGTAGGCAGAGACTGGGCAATAGTTCAAGGCCATGGTTTGCCCTGGCATGGGGTACTGTGAGAGACTCAGGAGGACGGGCCTGCCATAAATCCAAACCCATGCATGTGTTTCTATTTTGTTTGTTAGTTTATTTTGTTCATTATATTCCACGTACGAGTGAAATCATATGGTACTTGTCTTTCTCTGACTGGCTTATTTCACTTAGCATAATACTCTCCAGGTCTATCCATGCTGTCACAAAAGGTAAGATTTACTGTCTTAGCAACTTTCACATATGCAGTACAATATTATTAACTAGTCGCAATGCTGCATATTACATCCCCATGACTATAGATTTGCCTATTCTGGACATTCTGTATAAATGGAATCATACACTGTAATATGTGGCATTTTGTGACTAGCTTCTTTTGTTTCACATAATATTTCAAGATTCATCCATGTTGAATCATGCATCAATAGTTTACTCCTTTTTATGGTGAAATAATATTTTGTTGTATGGATATACCACATTTTATTTACCCATTCATCAGTTGATGGGCATTTAGGTTGCTTCCACTTTTTGGCTATTCTGAATAAACTGCTATAAACATTTAAAGTTCAAGTTTTTGTAACATTTTTATTTCTCAGTAGGATTGCTGAGTCATGTGGTAACACTATATTTAACCTATTGAGGAACTCCCAGAATGTTTTCCAAAGCTGCTTCACTATTTTACATTTCCACCAGGGATGTGTTTCATTTCTCTCCATGCCTTCTACTCTTAATACTTAAGATAAATGACAGTGATGACAACCAACTATAACTTTTCCTTTCTCAGTATGGGTACTGAGAGGTGTAGGTCTTCTTTAAAAATAGAAATACTGCAAAGTAATAAGTATAGATACTTTATCATGACAGTATAAAAACTTGGTTTAGCAACTTTTTATTTTGTTCCCTCCCTTTTTCATAAACTAAGTTATTTCTTGAGAATGGAATGGTACCATGTTCTTTTAATTATAGCCTGTCAAGTACATCTTTTTCCCAGATGAAGGAAAGAATGTCATATGGCAAATGACTTAAGACTCTTATCCTGTCCAAGGGTCTCTGGCACATATGAATAATCCAAGCCCTGCTCCCACAGAGATTCATATCTTTTTTTTTATTATTTGGATTTTTTAAATTACATTGGATTTTAAAGTAAATACCAGACATCATGTCATTTTAACTATAAATACTTCAGTTCTTATCTCTAACAGATAAGAACTTTTAAAAATGTGACCATCATGTTATTATGTCACATTATCTAGTCCCTTAATTTCTTCTTTTTAAAGCACATTTTGACATGGGAATTTATTGCTTTAAGTTGATTTAAGAAAGTATTCACGAATTTTATTCACCACAGCTATACTTTTTTTTAATTTATTTTTTATTTTTTTTAAATATATTTTATTGATTTTTTTACAGAGAGGAAGGGAGAGAGATAGAGAGTTAGAAACATCGATGAGAGAGAAACATCGATCAGCTGCCTCCTGCACATCTCCCACTGGGGATGTGCCCGCAACCCAGGTACATGCCCTTGACCGGAATCGAACCCGGGACCCTTCAGTCCGCAGGCCGATGCTCTATCCACTGAGCCAAACCGGTTTCGGCGCCACAGCTATATTTATATGAGCACAAATTTGCAATGAAGTCTTGATTACGGGCAAACAGTTAAATGATGGAAATATATATATTCCTTTTAGAGGGTTAGTGTTGAGGCATTAGAAATTATGATATGACAGGATAGGTCCAGAGACATGGATGCATGGAATAGACTGACAGAACTTAGAGGGGAGAGGAGGGTTTGGGGGGATAGGAAGAGATTAACCAAAGAACTTGTATATATACACATACACATGCATAGTCCTTGGACACAGACAGTAGTGTGATGAAGGCCTGGGGGAGAGGGCAGGGGCTGGGTGGAGAGGGATCAAGGGTGGGGAGAATGGGGGAACATCTGTAATACTGTCAACAATAAAAAAATTACAATATGAAATATTTTTAATAACCCAAGGAAAAGGTAATGCTAAAATGTTAAATAAAAAAGGCACAATACACAAATATATAAAAAGCATTAATATGATAGATATTTCATTTACACACATGCATGTACACATAGATGTATTTATGTATACATACAGAGAGAAAGAACTGACTGAAATGAAGACATCTTTGCTAAAATTTTAGTAGTACCTAATTCTGCTGATTATTATATTTTTAATAACTAACATCCATACTTTACTCAGCCAGAGTAAAGTTTTTTACCTAATGTCCTTTTTCTGTTCCTGGGACCCATCCAGGATCTCACGTTACATTTCACTGTCATTTCTCCTTAGGCTCCTCTTGGCTGTGGCAGTTTCTCAGACTTTCTTTGTTTTTGATGATCTTGACAGTTTCTTTTAATTTGTCACTTACAGTTCACATTCAGTATTATTTGATATAATTTCAGGTGTACAGCATAGTAGTTAGACATTTATGTAATTTACAAAGGGATCCAATAAGTCTAGTACCCACCTGGCACCATACATGGTTATTACAATACTAGAGGCCTGGTGCACGAATTCCTGCAGCAATGGGGTCCCTTGACCTGGCCTGTGGGATCAGGCCGAAATCTGCTCTCTGACATCCCCTGAGGGGTCCCAGATTGCAAGAGGGCACAGGCCAGGCCGAGGGACCCCACTGGTGCACAATCAGGGCCGGGGAAGGATGTGGGAAGTTGGCCAGCTGGGGAGGGACCGCGGGAGGGCTCCAGGGCATGTCCGGCCTGTCTCACTCAGTCCCGATCAGCCAGACCCCAGCAGCAAGCTAACCTACCGGTTGGAGCTCTGCCCCCTGGTGGTCAGTGCACGTCATAGCGACTGGTCGACTGGTCAATTGTCTGCCCCCTGGTGGCCAGTGCATAGCGAGCAGTTGAGTGGCCTTAGCATATCATTAGCATATTACTCTGATTGGTTGAACGACCAACCGGTCAACCAAACACTTAACATATTAGGCTTTTATTATATAGGATTATTGACTATATTCTCTATGCTGTACTTTACATCCCTGTGATTATTTTATAACTACCAATTTGTACTTTTTAATACCTTCATTTTTGTTTACCCAGTCCCCCAACCGTTTCCCCTTCTGGTAACCATCAGTTTATTCTCTGTATCTATGGATCTGTTTCTGTTTTGTTTGTTTATTTTGTTCTTTAGATTCCACATGTAAGTAAAATCATCATATTTATCTTTCTTCAACTTATTTCACTTAGCATAATACCTTCTATGTCCACACATGTTATTGCAAATAGTAAGATTTCATTCTTTTTTTATGGCCGAGTAATATTTCATTGTATATATATATGTACCATATCATCTTTATCCACTTGTCTATTGATGGGTACTAATGTTACTTCCATATCTTGGCTATTGTAAATAATGCTGCAGTGATTATAGGGGTGCATATATTTTTTTAAATTGGTGTTTTAGATTTCTTCAAATAAATACCCAGAAGTGGAATTGCTAGGTCATAAAGTAGTTCTATTTTTTATTTTTTATTTTTTTGAGACACCTCCATACTGTTTCCCATAGTGGCTGAACTAATATGCATTCCCATCAACAGTGCATGAGAGTTCCCTTTTCTCCACATTCTTATCAATACTTGTTTGTTGATTTCTTGATGATAGTTATTCTGAAAGGTGTGAGGTACTATTTCATTGTGATTTTAATTTACATTACTCTGATAGTTAGTGACATTGAGCATCTTTTCATGTGTCTATTGGCTATGGGTATGTCCTCTTTGGAGAAATGTCTATTCAGTCCTTTGCCCATTTTTAAATTAGATAGTTTGTGGTTCTTTCTTTTTCTTTTTTTTTTTGGTGTTGATTAATATGCATTCTTTATACATTTTGGATATTAATCCCTTATTGTATGTATCATTGGTGAATATCTTCTCCCGTTCGGCAGGTTGTCTTTGTTGATTGTGTCCTTCGTTGTCCAGAAACTTTTCGTTTGACATAGTCCCATTTGTTTATTTTTTCTTTTGCTTCCAGTGTTTGAGGAGATACATCAGAAAAAAATATTAACTAAGAGCAGTGTCAGAGAGTTTATTGCCTATATTTTCTTCTAGGAATTTTATAGCTTCAGGTCTTACATTTAAGTCTTTAATTTATTTTGAGTTTATTCTTGTATATGGAGTAAGAAGGTGGTTAGTTTCATTTTTCACATGTATCTGTCCTGTTTTCCCAACATTATTTATTGAATAATCTGTCTTTACCCCATTGTATATTCTTGCCTCCTTTGTTGTATATTAATTGAACAGATAGGCATGGGTTTATTTATTGGCTATCTATTCTGTTCCATTGATCTGTGTGTCTGTTTTTAATGCCAGTATCATGCTATTTTGGTTACTATAGCCTGATTATATAGTCTGATAACAGGTAAGATGATACATCAACTTTGTTCTTCTTTCTTAAGATTGCTGTGGCTCTTAAGGTCTTTTGTGGTTCCAGGTAAATTTTAAAATTATTTGTTCTGTGAAAAATTCCATTGCTATTTTGATAGGGATTGCATTAAATCTATAGATTGCGTTGGGTAGTGTGGATATTTTAACCATGTTAATTCTTTCTAACTATGAGCACAGTATGTGTTTCCATTTATTTGTATCCTCTTCTTCACTGTCTTATAGTATTCCGAGTATGGGTCTTTAACCTCCATGGTTAAATTTATTATTATGTATTTTTGTTGTTGTTGTTGTTGTTAATCCTCATCCAAGGATATTTTTTCCATTGATTTTTAGAGAGAGTGAGAGGGAGGAGGGGAATGGGGAGGGAGGGAGGGAGGGAGGGAGGGAGGGAGAGAGAGAGGGAGGGAGAGAGAGAGAGAGAGAGGGAGAGGGAGGGAGGGAGAGAAATCATTGTGAGAGAGACACGTGGATTGGTTGCCTCCCACATGTGCTCTGACTGGGGTAGGTATCGAAACTGCAATCCAGGAACATGCCCTTGACCAGAATCGAGCCCAGGACCCTTTGGTGCACAGACCAATGCTCTATCTATTGCGCACATCAGCCAGTGATCCTGTGTATTTTTTAATACAGTTGTAAATGG